AGACTGAAGAATGAGCAACGAAGGCTAATGAAAGGACTACATTACCATCATCATCCCAACGCCACCACCCACTAACACTGTCAACAACCATCACCCACTACCACCAACCACCTTTCACCATTGCCACCACCCACCACTGCCACAGCTACCACCACCGTCATCACCGCTAACAACACCCACCATCGTCGCCAACCACCACCACCACCAACTGTCATCCATAAAGATAGTAATGGACCGAGGAAAAACGGGTTTTTGTCTAAATTCATCCCGTGTTGATCAATGATGGACCATACGTATTGGATGGTAGATGTACACGAGGATACCTATATAAACCCGTACAGGGATGAAGGCAGAGATGGATTGAAACTCATTCCTGCCTCGCCCTACTAAACCCTATATATATAAGCAAAATGCACATCTATTATACATATTATTTTTGAGACTTTTTATGTTTGATCTATTTATTATATAATGAGTTTTCATTCTTCTTGTAAATCCATTTGTAAGGTTTTATGATTTTTTTTTAAAAAAATTTCTTAAAATCATAGAAATTAATTATTAGGGACTGGGACAGGGATCAAAATTTACCCGCGAAGTGAGAACGGAGATTAAAATTTCCTCCGCTAACAAGAATAAACCAGATATAAACAAATATTTTTGAAACAAGTACGGGTGTAGAGACTACTCCCTCCACTCCTGCCCCAATCCACTGCCATCCATATTTATGCTGCCATAACTAAATAGGTCAAACTACTAGACATGGACAGTACCACCTTGGGGCCTAGGGGCTTTGGTACCACCTTGGGGCTTTGGTAAGTTTAGGTCATTTAGGTGCGGCTTTGTTGAACCCACTTTTATATGAAAGTGGATTCAACAAAGCCGTTTTTAAGAAAGTCCTTATTTGGTAAGTTTAGGTCATTTAAAAGCGTATTTATTGAATCTGTTTTTAATAAAAGCGGATTCAACAAATACGCTTTTAAAAAGTCTCTTAAGTTAGAAAGTGGATTTGTTAAATACGCTTACAAAAATTATTGTAGATATGAAAACGGATTCGACAAAGCCGTTTCTTAAAATTCTAATAAAGACCATTTAAAAGTAGATTTGTTGACTCCATTTTCAAAAATGTACCATAGATTAGTAAATAAGTTCAAAATTACAGTAGCTTGTTTTGTTTAAAAAGAGTCGTACATTAGTAAATAACTCTCATATTGCGTGTGAACTAGCAATGCAACTCAAACCATCTAGAAAGCTGTAAGATTTTGATTGTTTACTCTTTATTGCTTTCAAAGATACATCAATCATAAGTATTTGACAATCAAATATCAACAGGCGCCTTCTAACATTATTGACTTTCAACATCGGGTTTTCATGTAGTTCACAATATAAAATATTTTGAAATTGAATGAAAAAGCACTAATCACAATATTTAATGGTTCTTGCAGATCCAAAGATAATCTAAAACTAACCGGTTAAACTAGCAAATCCATGAAAAGTTTACCACAAGTTCATTTCTTCCTCCTTCCCACCCCCGGATGCCTTAAATTAATGGCACTAAAAGGGTAGGATTGCATAACCTATATTGCAATAAATAAACAAGCCAAACTGCTAGACATGGATTGGCACCACCTTTGGGCTTATGGAGGCAATGGCCCCCTCATGTTTTCAACAAACCCTTTGTTGTGATTTTTTAAAATTGGGCCAAAATTGTTATTTCTTATTGTAAAATTAAGTGTAGATTGAGGTGTAATAGTTTTGAACTTGTTGATTATCTAATGAATTGAGTTGAAATGTAGTTGTCTATGAATGATTATGTGTTAATATTAAACTAAAATATTTTTACCGTTTGATTAAATAGTGCCAAAATGTTTTATATGTATTTTGACAAGGATTAATAAATTTTATCGATTTTACTGAAAGCAGATAAAATATAACATATTGTACAAAAGTTGATAAAAAAAAAAAAAAGCAATGGTAGTTTGGTAAATGAGTTTAAACATACAGTATCGTGGAAAAAACAATTACAAAAAACAAAGATAAATTAATTTATGTGTGTACATGGTATTTATCTGGATTGATTATCCACACTCCTCTATTCAAGAAAAACAAATTTTACACACCATTTTCATAAGCTTTGATTTTGTTTGTAAACTTGTTGGTTCAATGAATATCACTTGTGGCACCACTGAGGTGGTAGCCGAGTTGGCTTCAGTAGTTGGGATAAAACTCTCCCTTCTCTTAACAGTCGTGCATTCAAACCTCCTTACAGTAATAGTTTCATGAATCAGATGCCCTTTAGAAGGGACTCAACCATTCTCGAGTTAGTAACTATAGTTCAAACTAAATATTTTGCAACGGGTGAGAACTCCATTGGTCACACCCAAGGTCAATACGTTGGTTGCCCCTTCCCACCTTTTCACTAGCCGAAAAAAAAAAAATCACTTGTGGCTAATAATGGAACACTCAACTCCATTAAAGTCCTCATCTATTATGTTTAATTGCAATGAAGAACAAACAGACTAGAAAACTGTAATATTATATTGAACCTGCAACATTTCCATTTTTTACTATTTACTGCTCTCAAAGATATATTGGCCATAGGTATCTAACCATGCAGTCACCTTTTAATATTAGGTTAGGTCCATGATATCGAAAAAGTACAAAAAAATAATTTTTCAATAGTATACTCTATTTTTTGTCCAATAAAAACGTGACGCGTGAAATTTTCCCTATCAGTGGTCACACATCATCTAGATCAAAATGGACGGCAACATAAGCATCTTGGCACAGTACCTGACAGTACCATAACTTTATCCCTTATATTATTGACTTTAAGAAATCAGGTTTTCATAAGTTTCACATAAAATAAGAGCTTTTAAATTTGAATGCAAAAGAACTAATCACAACCTTCTCAATGCAAATATTGCTTCCAGATCCCAAGACTAACTGATTAAACTTGCAAATGCACAGAAAATTAACTACAAGTTCATATTTTCATTCTTCCCACCCCCAAGTTTCCTTAGCTTTACTGGTAGGTACTAATGGTAGGACTGCATGATCTATACCTCCATAACTAAACAGGCCTAAACTGCTAGAATGCAACAAAGTCAGGCATATGTAATTGTAAGCACAACTTGCCACATAGTTATACCAAACATTGGTTTGCTTAAATTTAGTCATACTATAGAAATAACTAAATCAGATGCCACATTTGTCCCGCTTATACATTCTTTCAAATGAAATTGCTGTATTTAGTGATACAGAATCACATTGGCAAAAACAACAGAGGTTAGACATAGAGTGAGGTAAGTGTTCATCCACCCATCGGTACCTATTCAAGAATCATCCTCTCTAAAATCGGGATAAAAATTCAAACCATGTACTTCTCGTAGACATTACTACAGGCAAGAAGCTTGTGCACTGGGTGCGGTCTTTTTACAAAATTGTATTATCGTGGTTTTCAGGGAAGGCAAAAAGTATCTCACCAAAGTAGTAAGGCAATTACAATATTTCCCCAGGAAATCCCCTCGAAGAAGCCTGTTTAAAAGAATATTGCAAATGCAAATGAATTTCTACTTATCTCATGCCGCATACAAAGGTGATTGTCAGTTGACCAATATCGTTACATGTACTACCATTTGAATTGTAAAGATGACCAGAGTCGGCAAATTTGAGGCAATAGTTTTCATGATACAAAGGACCAAGCATAACCCACTTGAGCAAGTTATAGTTCTTCCACCACATCATATGTTGGAACTGGAAAAACTATAAATCAAAGATATACAAAACCTAAAGTTGCCGACTCATCCCCGTAAAGGCATCATTTGGGTAGTAGAAATCAAAAATAGGAAGCTGAGAATAAGCAATCAAACCCTGACCATTGTGATAGTTTGTAAGCAGTGTAAGAGTTGAAATAAGCAATCAAATCTGATAATCATAACAGGATAGAAAATTTTCAAATATTCATTTCATAACATTGTGAGAATTTCAGCTAACCTGAGCTTGAACCCTAGCAGCAACATTTATACCACAATCTCCCAGTAGAAAAGATCTGGCACAAATGATTTTCATGGTCCAGGAAATAACCTGAGGAATCACAAAATGTAAGTGCCAATAAGTAAGCAAGTAAGCCGCCACTCACCATGCAACTGTAGGCTGAGATGAAGAACATTACCATCATTTCAAGATGCAAATAGAACACACACCACCAAATAACTTACAAGCATAAAAAGCACAAACATCACTTGCCCATTTTATCATTTTTCCTGCCTATTGGAAGCGAACTATTTGTTACTCTCTCGATGATTACTATGATCCGCATCAAACCTATCCTGCCTTCTCCAAAAAAAAAAACTACAGGATAGGTGACTAGGTCAGTCACACACACATACATGCACAGAGAGAGAGAAAGAGAGAGAAGGATTTGAAATTAATCATGTTGAGCAAGCACCATAGCTCCAGTTGGTATTAATATTTCCTCTATAATTCCGTCCATGGACACACATGTTCCATAAAAGCAGAAGGGTAGTTATAAGTGCAGAATGACATACTACAATGGCTTTCAATTATACCATTTGCTGGAATCTTATCACAAACCCGCACTATTTACCAACTCAATCCCTGTAATAAAAAATGATACATCCATTTAATTCGGAAAATATGTATGTGCATGGTTGCTTCGCATGTAGTGTGAGGTTCCTCCATGTTCGTAAAATACGTGACTCTGTACCATGTATCTTTAAGGAGAAAAGCACTGTATATCATTACAAGAAGAAAGGAAGCAGACAAAGTGAAATGCTAAAATTGTTATTGAAACACTAACTGTAGTATTTTACAGTACTCAAGCTACAACACCCTTCAAGGGTAACACATAAGATCAGATAGAGAAAAAGGAAAAAGCAATCAAGGGAAAATTAATAAGCAACAACTTCTTGCCAATTGTGTACAGATGGAAATAGGACTTGTCATGCCCAACTACGAGACTAAACATACATAAATGTCTTCTATTTATTGTCAGATCCATTCTCAACACCAAGACCATACAAAACGCCTGCATATTTCTCAATGGAGTCATTGAAGAAGTTGTCTTTCAACTTCTTGAATGCAAATGATGTGAGCAAACTATCTGATCCAGCTTGATGACAAATACCGATCCTTTCAACTTCCAAGAGCTCTGCGAGCTTGTTCAATCCACCATGAAGACTATTGCAGAACTTCATCAAATGCTTTATATCATAAAGCATTGGAAAATACATATTGATCAATTCGAAGAACCCCATTTGGGTATCAGGTAAATCCCGGCAAGTCAACAGCTTAAGCAAGTACCCAAAATCATACGCACTATGAAATGTCACCCAATGCACACCATCATTCAAAACAATTCCCGAGGACATCAAGAGCTCGCCAAACCGGTTTGCATAAACACCCATCTCATTATTTTTCTTGAAGTCAATCCCACATTGCCTCAATAATTCAATCGAATCATTAGCAAAAATATCCTCACTCAAATTAAATTCACGAAAATTGAACTGCCAAATGCAGTACCTATCAGTTCCACAAGTTGGCAAATTTCCGTTTTCATCAGATAAAGTGAGACCCACTTGAATCAACTTCAACATATCAACATTGTCCTTCAAATTCTGATAGTTATACTCATTAATATTCTTGAAATCCCGCACGGGGCGTAGAACAACCCCTGGAAACTCAGTGTCCATTGCAATATAAGGGAATTCATCAACGATTTCGCGAATCAGAGCAAACTCTTCTTCGAGATTATCATCCCACACGTCTCTAATTTGAATCGAATCATTTTTTGGCAACACGGACATGTTTTTGGCAACAAAACAACCTACCAAATAAAATCAAGGTGGGTCTTCCTAAAATCAAACAGATCTGCAACATTAACACAAAACAAAACAAACCCTGAATTCTTTTAAAATGAAGACTAAATTTTTAACAGTTAAAAAGTACTTAGATCTATTAAAGTAAGTGTAGAGAGACAGTATGTCCGTGAATGGGGTATGATTGTTTGCCTGTGCGAAGATCTGACCTTGAATTGGTGAAATTCGGGGCTAGAATGAGCAGATCTTAAGCTCGCGGACACTGATTTGCCTCTGTTCGTTGAAGATTGAAGGACCGTTTTGTGATGGGGTTTCTCCGGTCAACCATGGAATGAAATAGAGACAAAGCAGAGAGAGAGAGACACAGAGAGATTAGAGAGAGGAGAGAGGGGAGAGGGGAGAGGGGAGAGGGGAGAGAGTAAAGCTCAGAGAGAAAATAAAGGAGGAGGTGATGGGATTGAGGAGGAAGGAACGTGGAAGATATTTCCGGAATCAACTTTAAGGAGGGGCAGCGAGGAGAGAGAAGAAGAAGAGAAAAGTAATGTTTGCCATGGAAGGGTGGGAACGACGACGTATTTTAATGGAGAGCGCAAACCACATACGACGACGCGTTTAAGGTGTTGACCTTGTTGGCCATCAGTATTGACCTGGTAAACTATGTTCACTGTTACATATAAATTGTTTTTTTTTTTTTTTTTTTGCAAACAAATAAATCTTATTATTTGAAAATTAATTGTACTTATACATGCACATATCTATATGTTTGGTGTATTTTTACAGTTCTGACCCTTGAGAAAACTATACGAGGGATCAAAAGCTATTGTAGGCCCCCTCAATTAAACTTAACTAAGATTTTTTAATCTTATTTTTTTTTATCTTTTGGGGGATTAACTTCTAATTTTCTCCCAAATAATAATATACAAATTAAGTGAGATTGAGGTTTGGACGGTGAGCTGGCTGTGGCTATAGTCTAAACTTGCAAGTTGCAAGAGATTTGGTACGATAAGATGCAAATGGGCGGGGTAGGGTGAGAGTAGGGAATAAAATAAATTACGTGTATTTTACGAGTCTCCACTAATATATGCTAAAATATATATATATATAGGTGTAAAAATTTAATTATTTAAATGATATGTATTGATATTTATATATTCCTGAATGAGAAAATGAGATGAAATAGCAATTGGTACACAAAAATCAAACAGTATTTGAGCAAATTGCAAGTAAACTAATTAACCAATTCTCGCAGGAAACAAGATATCCACCAAGGGAGTGTTTGGATGGCAAGATAAAATGGGATATCACTTGTTTAATTCCTTTCCTTTGTTTTTCTAGGCTGCCAAACAGATAACTACTGTTAATGGGATATGTCCTGAAGTAGGTAAGCAGAGTTTATATATAGTTAATTAATTAAACTAGTAATTATCATCAAAAACTCCATTGACCTTATCACCATGCAAACGACTAACTTTAAGCAAAGCTTAAAAATCTAATTCTACTCCTTGTCTTTAAGCATACAAATGTCTCTTTCAAAGGCCTAGCCTTTCCTCTGTCACAAATCAACATTGAGTAAAAAAATGGCTATGTGATTGTTTTGTGAATATATAAAAGTATAAAACCGAATATAATGTCGATTCATCTCAAATGTAGCTATCTGGCGCCATAGAATTGGTCAATATATACAACGTGGAAGGTCTCACATTTAAATATATCACAGGACAGTACTATGTGGTGTATATTACCAATAAAAAAAATTGTATATGCTCAACAAATGACTATTAGATTGTCAGATTTTTTTTTTTTTAAAAAAAGTCAATTTATATATCCCACAAACTAATTTGTCTAGCAACCTCTTATTGGGTGTGTTAGGTGGCAAATGAGTGGGTTGGGTTGGTTATGGGTTAGGTTAAATTGGATTGGATTAAAATAAATTCAATCCATTTTTCACTAACGTAATAAATGGGTTATAATGGGTTGAGTTTATATCGGATTGGGTTAAACCAATTAACCCATAAAATAATTAAAATTCTTAATAGACACATTAGTACACCAAAACAAATGCAAACTAATACATTAAAAATATACACACTAATACACTAAAATACACACTAATATACCAAAAATACATATACATATACAAACACAAAAACTAAAATACATTTAAGAAAAAAAAATACACAAATAATGGGTTGGGGTCAATTGTGGGCTATGGGTTGGTTGTGGGTCATGGGACGACTCATGGATCGTTGGTCATGGGTCGATCCATGGATTGTGATCCATGGGTCGTGAGTCATGGGTGGTGTATTAGTGTGTTTATATTTTAGCGTATTAGTATATATGTGTGTATTTTTTGGTGTAATAGTGTGTGTATTTTTTAGTATATTAATATATTTATTTAATTTTATTACTTTTGTTGTTTAATAAAAAGATAAACACTTAATCTAATGAGTACTCATTTATAATCTGATAGTACTTAGAGTAATTTCCAAGCATGAGGTTAGACCAAGAGGTCAGATGAGCAGGTCTGGAAAAGAGGTCAGGGAAGACACGTAGAGCCCAGGTCAAAGCTCTCCCCCCCCCCCAGGCGCACCAACAGCGGAAGTGATAAAGAAATAGCTGGATGATAACAGAAAGCTGTTAGGTAACAAAGAGTCATGTTCAAAGCATAAAATCTTTAATCAGCCAAGATTTTCTCTTAAGATTAAAGAGAGTTCCTCGGATAAATAGTAAGAATCTCGGGGTAGATCCCATAGAACTAGGAATAGCCCTATAAATATTATGTAATTCTCTCAAATGGGAGGGGAGAACCCTAGTAACATATACTCTATTTTGTAAACCTTCGGAAGTAGAAGTAAAAAGAAAAGGAGCAAGTATCTCCATTTAATAATGGATTAGCCAAGCTCCCAAGCTGGTGAACCACTATAATTCCATTGTGTCAATCCCCCAATTTTTCATCGATTGCTCTTTCGAGCCTCGTAGCTCAGATCCTAATAGTCAGATACTGATCATTCCATCTGTTTATTACCATAAATTTACACGGCATTGATTTACACCGTCAGTTTGGCGCCGTCTGTGGGAACGATTGCTCCTGTTACAAATTTGCTAATCTTTTAGTGACTGATGGTTTCAACCTAGAACATGAGCAGAAGCCAGAGACCAATCTACCACGGATGCAAGAACAATATGAAGCCACCAACGATAGACAGCTTGAAAACGTCCCAGGGGCAAATTTCCCCATGGAGAATCCCCACACAAATAATAAGTTGGAGGCTCTTCGTCTAGTTAATCAACGTCTGATACAGCAGAATAAAGAGCTCTTGAAGCACTTGCAATGCCCCTGAGGAGGCACGACCAGCCCAAGAAGGCCAAAATAACCCCCTCACAGAGAGCAACAACATCTCGACCCCTTCAGAGAAGTTGGTGAAAGAGGAAAAAACAGTCAGACCTGGGGACAAGATCCTCATCCATCCCAAAGGAATGGACGCAACGAAAAGGTGCAAAGTCAAAATGTTGGGGAAGAAAGGAATGATTTTCTCCCCTATCAACAAGAGAGGAGAGAACAGTACTGGGAGCAGCTCTTTAATGGCATCCAGCAAGAGCTCAGCCATATGAAGGAAGCTATGAAAAACAAGGTTTCAGTTACAATGGATGCCCTGGTACAACAAACTGAGTCGTCATTCACCGCAGGCATCTTGCATTTTCCCCTCCCCCAAAATTTAGAATGTCGCAGATAAAAGCTTTTGATGGGAGAAAGGACCCCATGGACTACCTAAATACTTATAAAAATCAGATGGAACTCCATGGATACCAAAATCCAGTGCGCTGTAGAGCATTCGCCATCACGCTAAAAGGGTCAGCCCTGACATGGTTCAATAAGCTCCCCCGGCCTCAATCTCCTCCTTTAAGGAGCTTTCTATATCCTTCGTATCCCACTTCATAGGAGCTCGAATATACCGAAAGCCGAGCTATCACTTATTAAACGTGAAGCAAGGACCCCAAGAGAACCTTAGGTCTTATGTCCAGTAGTTCAACTCGGAGTCCCTAAAAATGGATGTCCCAAATGAGAAGTTTGACATTACATCATTTATAGCTGGTCTAGGCATACAATCTAAAGATCTGATGTTCTTTATTTCAAAGAACCCTCAGGCAAGCATGGCTGAGGTATTGGCTAAGGCAGAAAAATACATAAACAGTGAAGAAGCCCTTCTCTCAAAAGTGGGAAGTTCATCTACGCAAAAAGACAAAGGAAAAGGGATCAAAGTCCCAGAAGAGAAAAAAGGCATGATAGGTCTCCAAGAAGGGACAGAGATCACTCCCCCAAGAGGAAGGGAGATGTTAGAGATCGCTTAGGTCCGCCACGGCCAGAACTACAGCCAAAGTACGCACCACGGCAACTCCCCCCACTCACTGCAATGATATCTCAGATCTTATATGAGGTGCAGAGCGAGAAGTTTCTAAGGTGGCCACCACGGATGAAAGCAGACCCAGCAAAGAGAGATCCCACAAAATATTGCGAATACCATAGAGATCATGGCCACCATACTGATGATTGTATCCAATTGAAGAAAGAGATTGAGTTCCTGATCCAGCGAGGTTAGTGCGTCGTTATGTAGATTGGGATAATTAGGACCGAGCCCCTCCACCTCTACCACCGCAGCAACAAGCTCTTGTGTTACATCAACAACCCTTGAACGAAATTAGAGTAATTTCTAGAGGGTTCGCAGGGGGTGGGGAGTCCAGTTCTGCCCGAAAAGCGCACCTGCGCAGAATCAGAGCTAGCGAAGTGCTGGAAATACACACAGTGTCCAAGGCACTCTCGGCTGAACATGGCTATCACCTTTTTAGATTCAGATTTGAAAGGTTACCAGTACCCCCATGATGATACACTGATGGTTAGAGTTGTTTGTGGCTAATAGAACTGTTTATCGAGTTTTAATTGACAACGGGAACTCAACAGATATCATATTCGTTTCTGCGTTTGACAAAATGGATATAGGTAGGGAAAAGTTAGAGCCGGTCAGTGTTTACCAATTCGGTTTCGTAGGGGAAAGGGTATTGCCCCTAGGCTTAATCTGACTCGTCTTCACCATAGGAGATCCTTCTTACCAAGCCACCACCACAGTAAGGTTCCTAGTGGTGGATACCCCTTCTGCATATAATATGTTTCTCGGAAGGCCCTCCCTCAATGCGATGAAAGCAATCCCCTCTGCCTATCACTTAGTTGTGAAATTTTCTACAAAAAATGAAGTTAGAGTAGTCTGAGGAGACCAGCGGGTAGCAAGGGAGTGTTATATGACCTCAATAAAATAGAGAGAAGTCGAAAATATCCAGCTAGATATGAGAGCTGAACTGGATAGTAAACCAACACCATCAGAGGAGCTAGAGCCTGTCCAGCTTGATGAGGAGCTAGAACAC